CTGATTATTTCATTATTTCAACCAGCTGTGTTATTTTATTCATCAGTAATTGTGCTAGAAATTAGAGATGCCAACTCTTTATTTTAAAAGTTAGTGATAATCCAATAAGAATGCTGTTGTGAAAGAAGGACACTCAGGAAACCTGTTTTTTAATTCTTTTCTTTCTAACTTTTAAGTAAATTACCAGGTTTGATTTATGCTTAGCAGACCACTGCATCTCGTCATTAGTGGCTGAATGCTCTACTTCAATGACTAGACCTGATTCTCTGGTTCAATTAAACTGGGGTTCTATTAATGAAAATAAGTCCTCAGCAGAGCAACAGTCATTAACTAATATGCATTGAGAATTGGCAAAGCAAACAGTGAGAAAGGTAGCTTTTTGAAATCATTGGCTTTTTGGAAGCACAATTATTTTATTAATGTCATGTATTAATGTCAATGCTCTTGATCAAGCTACATGACATTCACTGAAACATACTCCAAAAGAGTTATAGGTTTTAAGGTTTCCTTTTTTGGCATTGTGCAAGTGCTAGAAAGCATACATAGGAAACTCTACTTCTTTATCTCCAGGCATCATTGGGATCTCTCAATATGTGCATTTATAATAAAATACCAAAATTTACATGAGCACTACACAGTCAATTATAAGAGCACAGTTATTTTCTCATGCAATTCAAATTTCCTCATGGGGAGTCCATTTCCAAAACAAATAGTTCAAATAAAGAAATACATCCTGGCTTATCTATGATTAAAAAATACTGTTCTTGGGCATATTCAAATAATATATATTACATATGAAACAGTAATCATTATTAACTCATTTTTAGTAAGCTAAAACACCACAAATATCAAATCAGCAAATGAAAAGTATGTGTACAAGAACCATACAGTGTGTAGTCATGTAATCTTAGCTGTCATAAACATGCAGCTTGAGATGTACAATCATAAGCCCTACGCTTACAAATAAATACAAATGTAACTGGGATTCACTGTAAAAGAAATATGCTGTGAGATTGAATTATTAATTTTCTATGTATATAACTCAAGTTAACTACTGGGAGCTGATTTATGTAATTTTCAAAACAGATACTAATATCCTATTCTATAAGGTGGATTCTAATATGGCCTGAGAAAATGTTTCTGTTTGATTATAACAATGAATTAATGATAAAAAATTAGCATTTATCTAAATTTCTCTTTTTTTATGCCAGGCCTGGGGCTTGAACTCAGGGCCTGGGTGCTGTCCATGAGCTTCTTTAGCTCAAGGCTAGCATTCTACCACTTGAACCACAGCACCACTTCCAGTTTTTTCTATTTATGTAGTACTGAGGAATCGAACCCATGGCTTCATGCATGTTAGGCAAGCACTTTACCACTAAGCCACATTCCCAGACCCTATCTAAATTTCTCTTTAACCTGATACGTTTTAAGTATTTTTGAACATAAAAACAAAACACAATGTATTTGACTAAAAGTTTGCATTGGCATTTAAAGATACTAGTTGCTAAAACATTAAGCAAGTGTAAGATAACAAAAGGACATTTACAGTCACTTATCTGATGTGCTTTGCAACTTAGTCATTTCTGTTCTGAAATCTATCACAGTACATGAAATAATGGTATTTGCTGTAGAATAAACCTACTCATTTCATCCTTAAGGCAAATATTCCTTAAGACTGAATTGTGACCTGATATATTGCCTGGGAAGGGACATTATTTTCATCCTTATATACATTTTCAAAGGCTCTTTAATGGACATGGATTATATATAACCTTTTTCCTGTAAATATAGTGTATAATAAATACACAATTTTTCGCTTTACTGTCATCAATGTCTTCATTGTCATCAAAAAGTCCTACATAAAGTTGGTTAACTGTGAAGCAGGCAATAATATGTGAGAGCTGTTCACTACACTTTCTGCTTTTCTGCAAATTTTGAAATGGCAAAACAAGGGTTAAAAGTATAGTGCCTATTTATACATTGTCTTCCAGGATTACACTGAAAATGTAACAACGTAGTTCCAATTCTCTAGGAATATGCAATATTGGACATCTATTACTGATGAGGATTGACATATAAAAAGTACCCAAGGATAAATATAGATAATCAAATGAGTTCATTTTTCAGCTTACACTATCAATGTCTATTTTATTTTGGTTTGTTAGTTTCTACTTTGACCTCTGTCAAACACTGATCACTCTTACCCATCTGTTACTGGAGAATCCACTAGTTCTGTCACTTTTGCCTGCAGTTTTTCTCAAAGTCACTACTTTCCACTTTCAGAGTGTTTGTTAGTCTTAGACCTGGCTATTTAATGACTAGATTGCTGCAAAGACATCTTAGTTGTACTTCTTTTTCAATTTTTTAATATATTTTTATTGTAAAGATACTGTACAGAGGGAAGTGGCGCTGTAGCTCAAGTGGTTAGAGTGCTCGCCTTGAGCTGAAGAGCTGAGGGACAGCACCCAGGCCCAGAGTTCAAGCCCCATGACCGACAAAAAAAAAATATGTAAAGATACTGTACAGAGGGGTTACAGTTACATGAGTAAGGTAATGAGTACAGTTCCTATTGAGCATTCTCTCTCCTTTGTTTTTTCCTCTACCATCCCTTATACTTCTTTTTTTTTTGATTTTTTTTCTGTTTTTTTTTTTTTAATTTTCTTTATTTTTTATTGTGAAAATACTGTTCAGAGGGGTTACAATTACATGGGCAAGATAATGAGTACATTTCTTATCAAGCATTGTTGCCTCCTCCTTTGTTTCCCCTTCCAATCCCTTCCCATCCTCCCCCCGGTCCCTCCCCCACCCCCCCCCCCCCCACCAAAGTTGTAAATTCGTTTTTCGACATGACAACTTGTACTTCTCATTGTTGCAACCGATCCACCTGTGTCCTATTTAAACGACTTGTTTTTCCCCTTCCCCTCCACAAATTATACTGACAACAAATACAGTGAAAGCAGGGGTTATACTGTGGGGGAAGGACATACAAAGCAACAAAGAAATAATCTCACTTGGTTTCAAAATTCATCTTGAATCCTGCTGTCAAATTCAACTTCCTAAAGGTTTTCATTCTTCTTGAGGAATGTGAGACACTAACAGTGTTTTCCTAACACAGTTTTTGTGCTCACTTAGTCCATTCCTCCTGTTAATCACCTGGCCACTGACTCCTACATTTCACTGTTTCCTTGCATTGGCTCAGTCTTCTGGCCACCTTATACTTCCATAAATCTTTTTTTTTTTTTTGTCCAGTCGTGGGGCCTGAACTCTGGGCCTAGGCGCTGTCCCTCAGCTCTTTAGCTCAAGGCTAGCGCTCTACCA